CCGAAAATAATGAGAAAAAATCACCTTTCCAAAATTTCGCCACATGGCGTTTTTAACCAAGGTACATTAAATGCCATAATGCTTTGGCAAAGGAGTAATGCTAGCCTTACTCACTCCCCCTACTCACTTCTCTTACTCACCTTTGTAAATATAAAGTATAGTAAGGGTACCATAAGCATAGTACGGGTACCATATGCCATTTTAACAAAGGTGAGTAAGAGAAATGAGCAAAGGGAGTAGTAAGGCTAGCATTTTTCTTGGCAAAGGCATTCATTCAATACCTATAACTTTTTTTTTTTTTTTCATCTCTTTTTAAGTTTTACTTTTTCCAGCAGAAGTTGTGGGCGATTTCTCCAGAGATTCCACAGTGATTTCTCCCGATTCTTTCATTTTGTTTTTCTCTATTCTTTTTGTGTTCTTAAAACCTTCTAGGCTACTCTTAGATGAATCTGAGGTGAATTTTTGTCGACTTTTGAAGAAGAAAAATTTGGGTTTGTCTTAAATACGAGTTTTGAGTTTGTTGAAGATGACTTTGACATGCTTTTGAGTAGTTTTTTTACGGATGCTGGATAGAATACGGGATGAGCAATTTCTGAAGGACCTTTAGTATTTGGAAGTGTTTGGCTTTGGCTTTGGCTTTGGCGTTCATGCTTAGGATTTGTATTTCAAAGGAAACTTCACAAGGTGAAACTATATTGGTGAAATCTGGGCAGATTTGCACTCATCTAAGGAAGCAAGATGGACGGATTTTGGATTTTGTCTTGTTTTTCTTGTGTTAGGATAGAACAAGGGTTGGCATGTGTTGTTGGATAGGAGAGTTTTGGAAGAAATCGGTTTAGTTGCTTAGGAAGGGTGGTCTTTTGCTGGATTTGCTGCTGATTCCGTTGACTGAAATTCACTTGATCGTACAAAGCTTGCTGCCTTAAGATGGTGTATGCAGAATGTTGTTGTTGTTGCTACTGTTGAATTTGATTCAGCCTTGAGATTGAGGGGGATCAATTCAAGGTTTGTGGGATTTTAGTAATTCGACATAGAGGCAACATTAACGTTCTGAACCATTTCTTGTGGTTGGAGAATTTGCGGGTCAAGAGAAGGAGAGGAAGATGGGTTTTTAAATACCCAAAAACATGCTCAAGAGATGTAAGGGTTTTTAGAACACGAAATACCCTCTAAAAAGAAATGAAACAATACGAAAAGTGATAAATATTCTAACTAATGCATGGAACAAATTATGAATATGGGGGATGTGTTTTGATGCTTCAAAGTATCATATCACATGCTGAATAGATATAATATGACAGGTGAATAGATAAAACAAATGAAGAAAAGTGAAGAAAAAATTTCTTATCGTGATGAAACTTTCAGGTTAGCGATGTCTGTTGGAGGGAGTTACGTGCCTCCTCTCATGTTGCAAGTCATTGTTAGCAGATGATTGTCAGGGCCCCACAGTGGACGCCAAACTGTAGATGCAAAAAATCTACTGTCATGAGAATAAGGTCTGATCCCGTGAGGTTGAGGCCATTGACAATTCGCTAGACGTACACACATGAAAAGACAAGCGTGAAGCTTACGGAAAACACTGAGGTGGTGTTTACCGTAGGCACTCTGACGCTCAAGTTAGCAAGGCTGGAAGAGATGATTTAATGAGAATTAGGGAAAAAAAAGGATTACCAGGAGTCTTGTCGAAGGCTAGGACTACGGTGGAGGCGTCAAGTTCTTAGGAGCAAGAACTCATGAGCAAATAGATGGTTTTGAGTAGTGTAGATTGACTATGAGAGCCTTTAATGAGAGGGCAAACCTTTGTTTTTATAGTGAACCCAAGGGGTTGGAATCCTAGTAGGACACTGAGCCCTATTTTGGAAGATAATCCCCATCAGAAAAGAAATATGATTTCTTGCCTTTATCAGATTAAGTTTAATAGTTTGAATAAGATTTGGAATCTTAGTAGAAGAGATAGAATGAAATTCTGATTTCCTATTTATGGACTGTTGCAGGCTAATGGGCTGAAACCCAGTTTAGCTTAACTTATAGGATATCCCAACTCATAGAGTAGGTAGTTCACAAGGTGATTTTAAGCGTAGGCTCAATAGAGATTGGGCTGAGACCCTAGGTCGTGACATGTTTATTTCGTTATTGGGTCTCGTCAGGCTCAAGACGATTTTTGGCCTTAATAGTAACTCCATGAGTCAACAATATATATATATAATATATATATTATATATATATATTTTGTCCTGACTACCAAGTGGCTCGTTACAGATAGTTTCCTAATATATGTTTCAACATGTGATAGCCTTCACTTTCCATTTTTCTACAATTACACTTGACCAAATCTGACCACTTTTGATATATAAGTTCATGTACTTTAGAGTTGCCTTCACTTCCCTTATGAATCTTGTTATGCCTAAAGAATGCAAGTCCAGTCAGCGTGCAAAAGTCAGAGCATGGGTACACCTGTAGCCGAGTCACATGAGGAAATGAGCAACATGCTCTTGTCAGTGCAGTGGGTGCGCGCCAGACCAGCCAGGAGCTGGAAAGCTTCCACATGTCCAAATTCCTGCACCACATCGCGTAAATCACTTTGGAAGGTGGGCAATGGGACGTAAAGGAAGATTTATACGGATAATCCTACCAACTCACAGATTTAATAATCATAATCTTAATCTATCCCACTATAAATTGAGGGTTTCACCCTCATTTTGGAGATTTAGCTACTCTCTCTCAAGAATATATAGCATCCTCTCTCTTGTACAATCATTTGTAAGTTAGTTCGCTAACGCGACCTGACCTCCATCATTAATACAAAAATCAGTAGACGTAGGACTTGCTTCCTTAGTATCCAAACCACTTTATACGCTTTTTCCCATTGTGTTTACTCTCATTTTTTTTTACATTCACGCATGTTTTCTAGGTCTGCTCAGCTTTTCACACGTGCGTTTGGTTGGTGTCAAAATCAGGCATCAACAAATCTTATACAAGTAATGATTATCATCTTCACTCATTAATTCAAATAAATACAAAAAGATATTCGATAGCTAAAATTAAATAAAATTCATTTAAAATTTACTGTATAATCCGACTACATACTTGTAAAAAATATTATGTGTATAAATCTCAATAATTTGTTTCTCTACATGTTTTTCGTTAATGTCAAAAATATCAGCAAGTAATTCCTCATGACGTTGATGTACAAGTGCCCTATTGAATCTCGTTATAAAATCAATCAAAGAATTCCTTTTAGAAACATACATGTTGAGAAAAGCATGTGAACTTTCTGCTCGTTGGCAGGCACCCATTTTGAATGTAAATCATACAGAGACTATAGTAATCCAATTTAAACAATATCTATGAGGAAGAAGTTGTAAAATTGTTGGGTCTTGATCAATAATAATGGTTGTAGGAGGATCATGTGGCATGGCTTTCTTAAGTTGCTCAAAAAGCCAAACAAAAGAAGCAGAAGTCTCATCATTTAAGCAAAAAATGATTGACTTATGGTACAAAGATCATCCTCTATCAACTAGTATCGAATAAAACCACATCATCCTCAAACTTATAAGCTCGCCTGGATATTGCACCATAAAACATGAATAAGCGATCTTCATTGTCTTTTTTAATGGTAAAAGTAAAAGTAAACGTACAACTTTTCTCTTGTTCTGACTGAAAATGTTCAAGCAACATATACATCGTCTCCCTGCATCCCATTACGTAAATCTCTCTCATAGGTTTAAAAATCTTTTTTTTTTTATTTAATATCTCTAGCTTGTCATTCAAGAATACTAATTTGCTAGCAGCTGAAAGCTGTTGGGTTTATGATTTTTTGGCATTAGCCATGTTACGATGAGAGCTTCATTTATTGATGAATGGGAATATGCATATCATCTAGTGATGCAAATTCTTCACCTATTTTAGGCTTATGATCATACAATAAATAAATCTATTTAATAATAATTTAACGTGAGTTAATTTATTTTTACAAGTTCAATATAAATGAATTTAAAGAAAAAAAAATTGAAGAATTCATATTGAAAAAATAAACACAAAATTATTTAGGACTTCAATAAAAAATCGATTCCAAAAGTGATTGTAATTTTGATCGAAAGTGATGAAAATAATCAACTGTTTTGATGACATTGTTCGCATAAAAATATAATGATCATACAATCCTGAAAAGTTTACTGGGTGACATGAATAAAAAATATAGGATTGATGATTATGCATATTTTTTTTTACCTTAGGTAGTCTTTTTCCACTTAAATATGTGAAAAATGCTAAATTCAATATTTTTTTCACTTTTCTCTCGTTGTGACACATTTACAAAGAGACAAAGAAAACGAGATCATTTACTTTTAATATTCACGTGTCACAATGAGACTGATAAATTGTTTTACCATGTACACACACACACATAATCAAGCTCCATGCCGGGCGACCAAATTTTTTGTAAAAATCCAGACTTTAAATAGTGATCGATTGGATGGCTCAGGTATCTTTTTTTATTTTGTTTCTCTTACATTTTAAGACTCTATAAGTTAGCTAATTAATACATTTGATTTTCTTCTCTCTCTCAATCTTCTTCCTAGAGAACAATAGAGCCTACTACTTTGTTCCATCTACATTACTGATTGCTCTATGATTTAGAAACCTTTTATCATTTAGTTTGAAATTGTTTTTAAAAGTGTAGATTTGATATCATCAAAGTAATAATAAAGATATTAGGATAACAATAAAGGTGGACTCATAACTCAATTTTACAAACTTTCTCTTACAATCCTAACGTAACACTTCGCAATTGGTTAAACGAGATCCATTATGAGTTGCTATATCAAGATTGTAAAAGTTTATGAAATTAAATTGTAAGTATAATATTAACCATTAGGATAAATATGTACTTGATGGCCACTTCCCTTTAAACAACTTCAAAAGGTGACAATTTTCGCTTGGAATAAAATAAATGGTTAACTTTGTTAATAAACTTAATAGATACGTCACTCAATTACCCATAAATCAAATGCAAATTTTATTACAAATAGTGACTCTGCAACTCTAACCTTGTAAATCTATTAGACAATAGCACATCGCTACTATTTCTTTGATTTCATATCAATTAACTAAAACCCAGACAATATTACAGCAAACAAGAAATTGATAAACAAATTAATCAAGAGATAGCATGGATTACATATGAAACATTTTTTAATAACGAAAATTCTACGATTAGATCTGTTCAAGATTGGCGTGCAAAACTGAGTACACGGCACGCCACCCCTCCTGTGTCGGATGCACCGTGTCCCAAAAGAAAGAAGATTCCGGCTTCTCACACACACTGTACTTCTTTTCTCCCTTCCCATCTATACTACCACATGAATACGCTGTGCTTGTTCCAATACAACATGGCTTCAATGGATTCCCAAACTTTGAGCCTCCTGCATATGTTAAAATATTAGCTACCATAATTAAACAGATGTTATCAAATCACAGATTAACCCCTAAGTACTATATGTATAATAAGCTGAATGGTCACCTTTGCTCTTGAAAACAGTCATGAATGCGCCGTAAAGATCCAGAATGACAATCTTAGAGTCCTTAGTTTCATTGTTTAATTTTGCCACTGCTTGCTGCAGCAAGAGATTGTGGAAATTGACGAGTTCGTTCTGGGTTCCATTGCACTGTTGGAAGGAGGAAGTAAAGGTGCTCTGAGGGAGGCATCCTAAGGGTTGCAGACCTGATACTATTAAGTTCTTCACTCCCAGGCCTTGAATACGTTTTAAATTCAAAGCAAGTTGATTCACCACTTGTGTAATAAATGGTTGCCAACCCTGTTATCAGTTCTTCAACAAGCTTAGGCTTCACTATGTTCATTATACCACGAAAAGTAATAAACAAACAACATTTGCATAATATTCAATCTTTAACATGTGGAATAAAGGTGAATGTTTAGACGCTAATTTGATTAACTCTAAAATTTCGGAGGATGGCTCTACTCTGCTGGTAACAAAATATAAACAATCAGTTTCTAACAAAATAGTTGACTTCTAAATGGATTTGGTGTATGTTTTGATTGAGATTCAAGCCTCAGTTTATTTTATTTTTCTGGAATTTTATTAGAATTTGCAAAGGTGTACGGTAGCATGTCAAATAGTGGGGATCAACTTCAAATTAGGTGTCCCCATCTAAAAGCTTCAATTCAAGACGTATAAGACAAGGACAGTGACACCCACTCATCCAAAATGGCATAATCATGAGTGAGATGCGTTTATTTTGTTTTTCTTTATATGAGATTACTTAACCATTAAATTTATCCATTCTGAAAGAGATTGTGTTACTGTTACCTCAGCAGAACCATTTCTTGCAATATAAGTAGAATAATCATTTCCGGCGACGGAGACGAGGCCGACAGAGAACTGTAGGTCCTGAGGTGTGTACACTTGATCCTTTATGAGCTGTTGAAAGAAATCGATCTGGGTTGTCATATTTGGCTCCGCAATTAACGTATCGAACACGCCCGTCCCACCATAAGCAAAGTTCATTCCGTATCTCAAGTGTTTGATTCCTAGTTTTCTCCATCTGTATGGTATTGGGGACTTCACTCCCACAAACCTGGCTGCCATTTTTTCATTAATTCAATTATTAGTTTTTTTTTTTTTAATGTTTACTAAAGCACAGTTGACAGATGTACCACAGCGAATACCTTTGCAAAAAAGCATTACTGATAAAGTTTATGGGGATGACACATTTCATTAAATAATCAAAGGCACTACATATTAATATATTATTGGTGATCATGTAGCAATAGCTGTATGAGTTAAGAAAAAGCACTAGTGCTCACTCCTCAGCCACCTGTTTTTTCTTTTTCTTTTTCTTTTCTTTCATCTTCATTTAGGGTTACAAGAAGCCTTAAGACTACTTTGGATTCATACCCACTTAGAGATGGAGATAAGTATGAAATTATAAAGTGGGGCATCTGTGTTTAATGAAGGTTATCACGTATATGACACCAGAGTGAAAAATAAAACGAGGAGATAAACATCAATGTCTGGTGGCTGAGAAAAGCAGTAAGTAAATAAAATAATAAAACAAAAGTGTGCTGTGCGATCACGTGAGGAAAGTAAGAGTGCGAAAAAGGATTGGATACCCATCTGACATAACAAGATAAAAAGAAATAAACAAGGAAAAAAAAGTTGACCCAATAATGCAAAATATACAGTCAAAAGCAAGAAGCGGTGTGTAGTAATCATAACAAGATTAAAAAGTGGCAAGAACCTACTAAGCATTTCCATAATACTACCAAAAAAGAAAGCAATAATCATCTTCAATTCTGATAAATTTAATTACCTAAATAATCTGTCAAGACGCGGCCGTCAGAGAAACGACCAGCTGGTTTACCGGGAAAGGTGATTCCGTAGGGCTGTTTCCAAGAACTGGCTACCGGTTTCCCGATGTTCCCTGTATCGGCATATGAATCTCCGAACACAAAGAGCTTTGTGGGTTTAAAATCAAAGACATGATGTGTGCGGGGAAGGTGGTGACGATGAGATGACCCCAACACTGTTTGTTGTCCTATTTATCCATGCAACAAACACACAAAGGTTAATTAATTAGCTATAAATAATGGTAGTATGTAAAGTTATGAAGTGAAATAAATGTAATTTAACCTGAAAGGAGAAAGAAGTTGAACAAGGAGAGGAAAAGATGCTTTGGGTCCATTTTATGGTAGAAAAACAAGTGGTGGAGAGGCTACTGAGAGAGTGAGAGGGGTGAGATGGAAATGGAGGAATCAGAGGATGATTTATATAGTGGGGGGGAGGATTTGAAGCACTTTATTTAGTGGTGATGGAATCACCATGAGGTGACCTAGCTTGGTCAACCTCTGAAATTAATATTTAAGGGTACGATTACGATTGTACTCGGTCCTCGGACATAGTTTTCAATATTCAAACTCAGATTTAAAACAATTTCCTCCTCACGGTTTGAACAAAATCAACACACCCACGGGTTTTTAAAACTAATATATACACCCGAAAAATTAATTACTTTATTATAATACCCTTTGTCTAATCATACTTTTCTTTTCGGTTTTTATTTCTTTATTATTTATTTTAATATTTAATTTAACCAATTATATATAAGTTTATACAATAGTTAAATTATTATTTAATTTATATAATAAACTAAAATTTAAAACACTTAAATTTAGTTGATCACATATTTAAATAATTAATAAAATAAAAAAGAGAGAGGGAAGTATAATAAGATAAAAGATACTAGAGTACTGTCGAAATAAAGTTTTAAATTCTCTTAAGTTTTTATTTCTTCAATCTTATATAATTAAAATAAAATGGAATGGATATCTAATTATACAAACTACAAAGGATATTATAGCCTCTATCAGTAAAGTAATCAGTATTTTGGGCGTACGTGTTACTTTCCAAAACCATGAGTGCATTGAATTTCCCCAAACCTTGCGGAAAAAATTCATAAACCTTGTTCAAACAGGGAAAGGAGAGGGACACAAAGAAATAGTAATATCTTAAAGAAAAGTTCAAAGGGTTGAATTTTTTATAGAAGGAATTATAGATATATGTATATGTTCAATATGTTTAAACTGTCTAATGAAACTCTTAATCAACATAATGTAATTCAAAATAATCAAGATATTATTTATAATAAATACATATTTTCTTTTTGAGATTAATTTCCTTCCACCTTTTTATTTGAGGGATAATATGGCATAGAATTATAGTCGGTGATTTATTATTATTTTTTTCTTCATTGCCTTATAATATAAAGTTGGTGTACTGTGGAGCAGTTGCTTGAATTTTGGCATGATTATTATGAGTCGCAATTTTACACCTCACCGACAGTCATCAAAGGGTTGTATATTTTGGAAAAGTTAAAAGAGAAAAGGTGCATGCTAAAGGCCAATTCAGCGTTATATAAGTTATCAATAAATAAATAAAAGAGATAATATAATTCTCCAAAGAGATGAAGATATGTAATCTTATTCAATTCCGAGATATACATAAACAATTGCATGGACACTCTTTATATAAGATTTATAGCCTAAAGAACTTGTTCTTCCAAAATCAATTATATATCCTCCTCCATAAGTTCCAAGAACCAGACCAGCCTCCCATGAAAAAGTTAATTAGACCTTCTTGAGAATAGCTATTGTCCGGTCGAAGCATAGTAATACTTTTGCATTTAATGTAGATTTATTAACTTGATTTTTTATATTGATTCATCCCCTAATCATATTCTGATATGTCACTTTATATGAAAGTTTGTATATAGTCTTTATAAATGTAGTATTATTCAAAGATTAAATACATTTCCTGACGTCGGACTGTGTTAGGAGAGGTGGTTTATTCCAATGTCACATTTGCGTGGGAAAAAAACTCCAAAATCTCATTTTTCTTATAGTATTAAATTGTTCATGAATCAACATATCATTCATCTTTATTTAAGGAGTATATTTTTTATCTCCACTCTTTCCTTTGAATGATTATATATATTTCATATATGTGGTAAAATATATAATGAATTTTAGTTATTGACAAACCCAACACATAATGACATGTGTTGATGCTCGATTTTGACACCAATTATTTGCACGTGCAAAGTGTTAAGCGGACTTAGAAATTACATGTGAATTGGAAAATGAAACAAATAAAAATGGAGACGATTTTTAAAATGGTTCGGATACTCAAAGCGAATCCTACGTCCACTGTCTTTTTATTTATGAAAGAGTACAATCAGGTCGCATGTAGCGATCAAAGAGAACAGAAATATAGAGAGGGAGAGAGAGAATGTTTATATTATCAGGATTAGAATCCCGAAAAATTATAGGGGAGCTCTCTATTTATAGTAAGAGGTTTCTAGGTAATGATTATGGGTCTGCCAACGGGTAGGTGTTGTACAGTTCTCACCCTCCTTCCCATTGGCCAGTTGCATAGAGGATATCCTTAAATCGCGTAAGGCTTGGGCAAGTGGGCGACTCCTAGCCACTCACTCGCTATGCCTTTACCTGCCAAGCTGATGACAGCTTAACTCCTTATGTCCTTGGACGATGTGGTAGCGCCTGAACGACACAATGCCATCTTGAACTCTGATTGGTCCTCGCTGACGTAAGCCTGCATTAGCCCTTATTTTTTAAGCATAACAGAAGCCCCCAGTTCTTAAGGTTCAAGGCTTGAACTTTGAGAACTTCATGATTATGCTATGATTTGGCTCATCCCAAGGATCGCTGGCTCGAGCTGCAAGTGGAGGACGGCTGAAATAACATGAAGTTCACGATTTTACTCGACTAGCGAATTGAGTGGAGGTCGCGATCATCCCCTAAAGGTTTAGAGACCTAGGGTCAGATCCTGCTCAGTGCTATTCCAACATACTTCGAACTTTGTCCACCACTCTTCGACCTGAAAACACTTAGAAAATTCTCGCCGAAAATTGGAGGTTACTTCATTTCGAGCTCGGTCCATGGAGAAGAATGTTTCATTTGAACGACCTCTTCAGATGTTATTCGTTGCGCTTGACAGTTGGCCTGTTTAATAAAGTAAGATTTATCTGATAGATTTGTCTTTACGCAATAAGTGTCAACCATGAACATTAAATGCAAGCCATGTTGAAATGACATGCTTTTTTAAAGCATTAAATGCGGATGAGGGCGCATTCAATGTGGTGAAGATAACCACGCCGACGTTTGGTGTCTCCAACGAAGGGAAACGTCGATTGATCTTCACGAAGCATGAAGGTTACTCTTTATGAGGATTGGCGACATGTGGTCACATCCAACAGCTAGGAACGCGTCTCGCCCAAACATCGCTTGCAAAGGAAACCAAGCGTCACCTTCTTCCCTATAAAAACCCAATCTCATTTCATGATTTTCATAGAACTCAAATCTTCAGAGAGAAAAAATAGAATATTTTGTACCCAAAAAACCAATTCATCCTTCTTCCAGTTGATGCGCACTCGCGTTATGACAGAACGTTCATCCGCAGCAACCAAGAGGTAAGGAATATTCTTCCCTTTTTTCTTTTCATTCCTATTAAAAACTCAAATTTTTCACAACAATGGTGGCTTTGAACGATTGGTAAACTTGACATGATGCACATCTTTGGGTAGTTTTCAAAAAGGAACACTCTTAAAAATAAAAAATCTAGGGCACAGATCCTTGGGAACTCGTTCTCAAGGACGTTTAGGGTTTTTAGGGGCTAAGGAAGGAAAATGAGGGTTTTTCTTACTCTTTCGAGTTGTCGTATGAAACACTACGTACGAAGACTGAGTCACCTCTTTGTGTCGCACCTTTCCAGACTTTAGGAGTAATAGACGCTTCAGAGATGAGAGTAGTTGCTAGAGCCAACTCGCAGGCCCCGAGCACCTCAGCGGGTCCTGTGCAGGCAGTGCTATCAGCAACCACTACGAATGAGATTCAAAAAGCGGTAGACCAGTTTGCGATCAACGTAAACATCTACCAGCATAGGAAGCACACCGCTCAGGACCCTTTAGAGGGAATGGCTGTGATCTCAGAGTCAATCTTCAAATGCGGGGTAACAATACCTTTCCACCCCTTCATCAGATCGATCCTCGATCACTTCGAGGTCGCGCCATTCCAATTGACACCCAATGCATATATAATAGCGATTGTTATGTACATCGCATGCCGCGAACACAAACTCGGCGAGTTAACAACGTTGGAACTTGCATGCGCTTACTACTTGAAGAAAAGCAAGGACAAAGGTTCCTTCTATCTCTCGAAGTGATCTATGATCGAGGGAGGGATATTTGGTTACCCCAGCAATGTGTATTATCTGCCACCTGTTTTTCCTTGCCTTTTCACATTGTAGTGCACGTGGCATGGGCCTTCACCCGTTTCCGTGCTTTAGGGTGACCTATAGGCATTTTTGACTGTGGCATCACCTTGTCGGACTCGGGTGGTACAACCTGATCCAAACGGTCTAACCTTCGGTTAACCGTTTGGAGAGTATTATTGAATCTCTCTAGGTAATCAATTATAGTTGGGTCAAGTTGTGAGCTCGAAGGAATGTCCGCTGCGGTACTATGCTGAATCGGGGGCGCTTAAGGAGAAGTGTCATCTTGTACCCGGGGGACCTCCTCATTGCTGGGGCTAGCTCGCTCGATTTCGAAGCCACGGGCCATTTGCAAGTGAATATACTCGATTGATCAGATATTCCTAATGAAGAGCGGATACTAAATCAGACCCTCTTTCTAGCGCCAAACTATTTTGACACCAATTATTCGCATGTGCAAAGTGCTAAGCAAACTTAGAAATTACACATTAACTGGAAAATGAAACAAATAAAAAGGGAGACGATTTTTAATTGGTTTGAATGCTTAAAGCAAATCCTACGTCCACTGTCTTTTTTCTATGAAAGAGTACAATCAGATCGCATGTAGCAATCAAAGAGAACAGAAATACAGAGAGGGAGAGAATGAGTGATTATATTATCAGGATTAGAATCTCGAAAAATGAGAGAGGAGCTCTCTATTTATAGTAAGAGGTTTCTAGGTAATGATTATGGGTTTGCCAATGGGCAAGTGCCGTACAGTTCCTATCTTACTTCCCATTGGCCGGTTGCACGGAAGATATCCTTAAATCATGCAGGACTTGGGCAAGTGGGTGACTCCCAACCACTCACTCGCCAGGCCTTTACCTGCCAAGATGATGACAGCTTTACTCCTTCTATCCTTGGACGACATGGTAGCGCCTGGACGGCACAAAGGCT